TCATTTTAAAAAAAACGATCTTCAAATCACCATTCAATCTAATTTAAAAATTGTTAACTACCTCGATGTAACGTTAAATCTAAGTAACGATACGTTTCAAACATATTTTAAACCTGATAATCAAATAAGGTACATCCACTCTAATTCTAACCACCCTCCAAGCATAATAAAAGCAATCCCTCGCAATATTGAACAAAGATTATCTTCCATGTCAATTAATGAAATATTCTTCAAAAAGGCTATTCCACAGTATGAAAAGGCTTTAAAAAAATCAAGATACAAATCGAACCTTACCTACCAACCACAAATAATCTCAAGTCAAAATCAACAAAAAAAGCAACGTAAACGTAATATTATTTGGTATAACCCTCCGTTCAGTTTAAACGTCAAAACAAAAATAGGAAACCGTTTTCTAGCCCTTATTGACTTACATTTTCCAGCCGGCCACAAGTTACATAAAATAATCAACCGAAATTCCATTAAGATTAGCTACAGTTGCATGCCTAACCTAAAATCTATCATAAATTCGCATAATTTCAAAATTTTACATAACAAAAATCAATTAAAAACCAACCAATTTAACTGGGTAGATAAGGCATTTTGCCCTTTGAACAATTAATGTTTATCTAACAATATTGTCTATCAAGCAACCGTAAGTTCCAGTCATCATGATAGTAATAAAAAAGTATATTTTGGCATTAGTAATACACCATTTAAATTAAAATACGCAAGCCATCTCAAATCATTTGCATCAGTTAAATATAGAAATGACACAGAACTATCTAAGGAGGTATGTAACCAGTGGCGGAACTTCAAAATTTAGGCCCCCCCCGCAAAAGAATGTTTTTTTGCGGAAAAGAGTTTTATAGTATAAATATTATTGAGAGTATAACTTTTTTTATATGAGGGCCCCCTATAGCTGGTAGGCCCCCCGCAACGCAGGGTCCTGCGTCCAGTAGTTCCGCCACTGTATGTAACTTAAAAGACCAAAACATAAAGCCCATTATAGAATGGAAAATTGTCAATCGTTGTAAACCTTACAATCTAGCAACAAAAATATGGCACCTTTGTCTCTACGAAAAATATGTAATTTTATCACATAATGGAAAAAACCTACTGAATAAAAAAAACGAAATCGTATCTCAGTGTCGACATTCAAAAAAATTCCTCTTATCTTTATTTGACACAGGGGACTAATAAACTATAACGGCTTTTTGTTTTTTGATTTGTTTTTTACGTCGATTTGTTTATAACGTCAGATGTCATTCTACAGTAATTTTTACATTTTTGTAACGGTTTGTTTACGTTTTTTGTTTGTATTAACGGCTGATGATTGCCTTCGGGTATGAAACTTTAAGTCCCGCTAGTCAGTTGTTTTTATTCATCTAAATATAATTATATATATATATATATATATATATATATATATATATATATATATATATATATATATATATATATATATATATATATATATATATATATATATATATATATATATATATATATATATATATATATATATATATATATATATATATATATATATATATATATATATATATATATATATATATATATATATATATATATATATATATATATATATATATATATAT